TGAGCAACCTAATGACAGACCAACTGACCGACTAATCGACTGAATGTGGCGAATTCTCTACTGGCACGTAAAATGCGACGAAAGCAACTCTGCACTCTCAAGATAATCTCCTCGGCAATCAATACAAAAGTCAGGATCGGCAACCTGTGTCTTTCCGTACTATATTTCCCGCCGTTTACAATAACCAGGCCAAAATGTCGCTCGTCATCCCGCCGAAGATTCATGTGCAACACCAGCAACGAGGTTTTCCCACCCCTTACACAACATCAGTCCTCCCTCAGCAACATTAAAAGGGGCGCACGTTTGCCCGATGGGCTCACGGTGGATAACGCCATTCTCATCATACGTGAAGAAGGACAAGATGGGTGGGACGTGGCTTTGGTATTTGCTGCGTCAAACCTTCAGGACTCACAGTCGGAGAGACGCGCATTTAACAAATATTAACAGTATTCTCGCCTCAGTCACAGTCACAGTCACGTGTTTCCTTTGATTCTCACTGAAATTTAATGACCGTAAACGCACTTTAGGCGATGGCGCACGATGCTGATGGGAACATCAGGAGATGGCTGGGCGCTGCTTCGTGCTGCACTGGTCGATCGCGCGTGTCAATATATATGAAGGAATTAGAAGGGCATTTTAAACTAAATTTACTCATGACATAACCTGGGTTTTCGCCGTATGATTCATTCCATTACACGGCTACTAGTCAGCCCAGTAACTGGGTAGTCGCAGCGGCGTATTTTGACAGAAGAAATGTATGGCGTGATAGCGTGGTCGGATTTTGAGGAAAATATTTTACTTGACACAGGGATATTTCCAAAAATTATTCGTGAGCAATAGTGTTGCTGAGTTTATGTACGCATATTGATGTAATGACGTGTCGTCTTCATAAGCCACTGGTGGAATGGCAACAGCAACAACAACAACAATAAACCATTCTAGGATCATCATACATCATTCGAAAGACGCTGATGTAAAATGCATAATAATGCCTCACACGACATCTGTTTAATGCATGTAGCACGTATTAAAAACAAAATGTATTTCAGATAGCTGCTGCACTGTGTACCTCAGGGGCAAGGTTTGTCTCGGGTACTTAGAAGTCAACGCCCTGTAAAATGGCGAATGCAATAATAATAATAATATTAATAATAATAACAACAACACGCATGAAACACTCGAAAACACAAAGTTACCAACACCCGATCAGCGTGCGAGAGACAGGTTTTAAGCTGATTTATGAAGCCACGACGTGTCACTAATGTGAAGAATTTTTCCCCTTGCTAATTAGCGGATGCTTTAACACATTTGAATTACACTATACGAGGCTACGTATGCGTACAAACACAAGCCAATTCGCTTTGAGTAAAAATCCAAGTAGCGCTAGGCAAAAACACAAATTATACTGCCATTCCCTTGTTACATGACGCGTAACCTGAATTCTCCCTCAACTACGATCTCAAGACCCATAAAAACACGTATACCCTCAGAGCACAGCAGAATCCACAAAATCATGCATAATTACACAACGTTATTGTTCAATGGTTGTTACCTTTGACTTGTATTATTGGGGATCCGGGTTCAAATAGACCACGGTCACTTCCATCCACATTCTTTTTCCACCTCATAATTCACATATCAACCCACCATTCGACGCTGCATAACCAAGGTGCTAAAAGGCTGAGTCAGGTTAAAAAAAATCTAGAAACGTCCAATTGCTATGCTCTAATCTAACTGTAAATATTAACTACTAAAATACATTTCTAATTAACATATATTTCAAATCCCGTAATGCACATTCGAGTAAGGCAACCGAAATTGGGTGTGAACAGAACACATCCGATGAAGTTGCAGGGTAAATTAGTGTAAAGACGACATTCTGTCCCAGATTAACGAGTATTAGTATGTAGTGTACGTTTCCTCGTTTGTGATTGGCTGCTTTGTAAAAGCATGGATGGGAAATTCGAGGCGACCCAAAGCTTAAATTACGTCGTTTAATTTGGCGTTAAATTGCTATATTCTAGCGGCGTGACGGCTTACTGTGACTTGGGCAGACTCTGCTTACTTTGAATTAATCTATGCAAATTAGTGTACCAGTGTGGATGTGTGTCTGCGTCCGCTGCAATCACACAAACAGTTAAGTAACATGAGATCCCTACTGCAAAGTCCTGGCTACTAAGTAAGTGAGAAGCTCGCTCGCTCACATTACATAGTCTCTGGATCGAACTCCGTTTTCAAAGTCTCTCCAGCCAAGCAACGGGCTTTAAAAGAGATCTGAGGTTTTCATAACGGTCAAAATGTGGACTGTCGACTTCTGAGCAGAAGACTTCCATCCTGATGATGGGGCCAATAAACTGCACAATGCGTATGTTCTTCTGAAATGTTTAAAACCTTCCACAGGCCTATGCAGTGTTAAAATTCAGGAGACTGGAATCCATACTGGGACAAAATCTTAGAGCCACATACCTGAGTTTCTGAATCGGTACACCGTAAGCTCGTAAATCCAAATGCGTTTTTACACATTTTGCAACGGTTTAAGTCACGGCTCGTCTTATCATTCGCTCGCGAACACACAAATGTCTAAAAGAAAAACGCACATCCGGCCAGTATTAGTATAATATCTTCTAGTTCATACCAAACTTTGTGAAAACTAAACTGTGGGAGGAAGCGAGGGCAGACGATAATGTAATATGAACTATTTATAAAAAAACATGCAGAAATAAAATTCATAAATATATTGAAACAATAAGACCTGTTAATGGAGCCGGTAAGGGTTAAAGTGAGCTTGGAATATTTAGAGGCCTATATTAATCAATACCTTGGATTGATCTTGTTGTGATCTTGAAGTAATGTTCACCTATCCATGACCTCAAACTGACATGAATATGGTCACTCAGGTTCCTACAGATCGGCAGAAATATGCGTTTGAAAAAATGACGGCCGAATGAAAATGAATAATTCAAAAACCTCTAATCGGTAAACCCTCGGACTATTACTGTAGTGACCTTGACACGACATCGACCTGTATGTGACCTCAAACTGACATGAGTAAGTTCACTCAGATTCCAGCTGATCGGCAGAAATATGCGTTTGAGGAAATGACCTTCGGATGACCTTGAAAAAAATTAAAGCTCTCTATTCGGAAAACCCATGGACTTATATTGTGACTATAACATGACCTTGACTTTTCTGCGACCTCAACAATACGTTAGTATGTTCACTAAGATACACAACGTTCGGCAGATTAAGATTTAGAAATATTCCTCTTAAATGACCTTGGAACTTTTAAATGTCTTCAGTGAGAAAAACCTAGAGTTGATATTGTTCTGAACTTCAATGACATTGACGGATACGTGACCTTAACATAACTATCCCATAATAACAAAAGTTAAAACGATTCAAACCTAACCACGCAACGCAACGTAAGGGTCCCAAACATAATCTAACCCAACTTAAATTTACTCAGTAGTCCCATCTTTTGGAATCTTATTGCCCTGACTTAGGCATTAAGTTAATGTGTTTATCTAATATTCCACAAATTAATGTGTTGTAGGCAGGCCAGTGACACCATGTATAAGGTAGCTAGATCAGCGAACAACAAGTGAAACGCGCAGGTTAAACGCACTGAAGTTGTGTTCTGCGCGGTTGCAGGCAGGACCTTTCATTATCGCCTCCACATCACGGCGTCCAATTAGTTTCCTCAGCTAAGGGAAGGTAGCCTAATGCACAATCGATAGTATTAAACCTGATTAACTTCTTGAAACAAACAGTTCCTTCTTCATTGTTAATCCATGTTTCGTATTAAGCAGTAGTCTAACATTTCAGAACAAAACATTGCCTTTTCCGTTCGAGAGGTCAGAGTAAAACGAGCCCAACATATGCGCACTGGATCGTACTGAAACAATTGCCCGTGTGTCGTCGCCGTCATCCCACACATGGCTACGAAGGGCATGCATTGGTCTCTTCTGCGAGCCGCTAAATGAAACTAAAATGGGAACTAAAAACTGTTTACACTTCATGTTTTATGAAGATGGCTGTCTTCTGGTATACCGACATTTCAGAGGCCCTTGCTGCCTGGATCGTCATCAATCTGAGGTGGCACTAATGAAGCTGTTCTTTAGCTTGTGAGTGTGTGTGTGTGTGTGTGAAGGGACCTTGCAAGAGAGTAACAAACTGAACGCTCGTATCACACCGTCAGACCGTAGCAAGCAACAGAAGTCTTCAGTGAAGAAACATTGATTTGTTTCGTTAATGAGTGCAGATAAACATTGACGATGTGATTTCGTCTGCTCAGAAGGTTCATAAATCATTCAAAGATTGCAAAATAAATCCCTCAGAACTTAACTTATAAATATACAAACTCTGTTTCACAGCATGCAAAATATTCTCAGTCTGTTCCAGCTACATTACACGATTACATCACCGAAATTATCGGACGTCCCTCAGCCGTCAAAGTACGCTAATGGATTAAAGTTAAGTTTTTAATGACTTCGTTTCATTCTATCAGTTTGAACTACTTAGCCAATATTGAACGTGGGCTCTCTCCTGATGCTATAAATGTAACCCAATCTGCTCAAACTCCGCCCGATACAGGAGTAATCCGCGCAATGCATCATGGGGATCATGACAAAGTAAGCAACAACTCCGCAAGTGGTGGACCATAATGAATTCCTCGCGGTTCCTTTTCTGTCACAACGAAATTTTCGCCCCAACTCGAAGAGCCCGAGTTTTCCCGGGCTCATAAAGCCGATTGCGCCGTAAAACCGCGCGTTTTATGGCACGGAGTTCTGTTTTATTTCATGGCGGTATATCAACTGGGTTCACGCACCGCGGGGGGCTTCCTAGACGCAGGGCTGCCAACACAGATACAGGTGTGAGGCTTCGAGGACACGTTTATTCCTCAGCATTACTAACTCTATTACTACCACTCCTACTACTGCTACTACTACCAATAATACTAATACTAATTATAATGGTAATAATAACTATTAATGACTCACCATCTGGAATTATGAAGACCTAAACCGCGTGATCCGTTACGCCCGGTCACCTGAAAAGACATTAATAAATTTAGCTGAGATCTAAAATTATCAGTGGGCTCAAAACTTCTTTAAAAATACTTTAATTTACAGTCAAAGTGCTTCTGTGTTCCAAATCAAATTGTGAATTTATCTTCTTTGAAGAAGTTAGCCTCTTACTTTGAGGAAAATATTTTTAAGTTGATGACATAGTAATTCAATTATTTACTGTAACTGACACACCATGAGACAGAAAAATAATTATAGTAAAATTATCAAGAAATTGCACGACTATAAATAAATTTGAGACAGAAAGGCAGCTAAGGAATGACAAGGAAAAATCAGTTCAAAATGCGTTGCACCAAAACCAGCTGTTTGCAGAACGTATCACTCATTGTCTTTGCGATAACAACCCAGTTAAATTAAGTTCAGTTTGGTTGGAAAAGATAAGAAATCATTCAAAGCAAATACAAATAAACAAGATACTAAATCAGGGCACTTCATTCATAGTTTGGATGACACAGAAGTCAATGCATTGTGCGCGAGGTGAGAAGGAAAAAGTGCGTATATAAAATGTGCAGTCAGTTGAACTGCTAAATGATGCACGCAGGTTTCTGTAAGTGCTGAGGAAGATCATGACGGCGGCGAAGGGTCCTAGCTCGAGAGGCGTCTGGACAAACGCATGTGTCATCCTGCCCCGTGAGTTAAGGTCGAGCAGAGGACAGCACAGTAACAGGATAAAAAATCAGCGGTCCTGTGACTGTCCTTTTTAACTTGAAATGAAAATCAGGACACGTGCCTCGATTTGCAACTAAATTAATGAAAACGCGAATATTTGAGATTTTAATTCAATTCGCAATTCATTCACCCCTGTGTTTGCAGCAAGAGCAATGCATACGTGGAATTTTTTGTGTAGCCACAAAATTCGCCAATATCAACTCCCCGGCGCTATCACGTGAAGTTCGACTGGTGGCGGAGGTTTCATTCAAACTACAAGCTGTCTAAAAAAAAACAGACCTCTAAGTAGCGGAAAACTCATTTTCAAATTATACACCACAGACTTACCATTCTCAATCACCAAACACAGTTCTCACTCTCTTCTTTAATCTCCGTTCACACTTTTTATTTTAACGAAGAGAAAGGGACGCACAGAGCCATTAATTTCCAGTTCACACACAATACTTAACGATTGACAATTTCATTATGGCGGCAGGGAGATTCTGAGGCCGAAGCGACTCCATCGTCATTCAACGTAACGAATGGCACTGAATACTTCATAAACTACCTAAAAATTCTGCGAAATTCACAATTTTGTATTTTGTGTGGATGTATATAGTCGAAACCTCAGGTTCTCAAAGCGACCGGTGCGAACACGGCTGCCTTCCGGGGTGTTGTGCCGTGTCGTCTGGTAGCCACTGACCATCTTTCAGACGACCTTGCTGCCTCCATCATCATCGTTTTCGACTCCTGTCAGCAAGTACCGAGCCGATTTCACATGACCAATTTATTCCACGTGACGTGGTTTATGGAGGAACTCATTTTCCTGTCAATGATGTGTAAAAATGTGATATTACATATATTAAAAACGCCAAATCAAAGTGTCTTCACGTTTGTTCTGAGCTGTAATTAATATGATGCAAACTTAACTTCGGACTGATCACAGAACACACGCATTCCTGGAAGCAGTGGCCTGGAACGCTATGGGGCACCATGGGATTGCATGTCCCTATCGTGTTGTGAGGTAGCCATCTTTTTTAACCCATATCGCTCAGAGGTGACAAAACGGAGACTGCAAAGAATCCAGCTCCCCTCTCTGTCTAGTCTCAACAGAAATATAATCTCTTTCCGATTCCTCGTCTGCCATTCGCTCGTTCGCATGGAAAATACTCCTATAAGTCATTCAGAAGCAGATATCGAAAAATATCTGCGAGGGCTTTAATGACTTCTAGCATGGAGGAATTCTGGAGATGCGCGGAAATAGGATCACGTGAGCAGGTGAAAAAATAAAATAAAAAGGATTGGCTGAAGTTCGTGAAAAACTTGTTACTTCCACAAAGACAGAAATTCTGTAACAGTCCCCATGGAAACGAACGAACGTACGTAAGATCAGCGAGTGTATGTGAAACTTCGAGAAATAAAATCCCATTTGATCCGTACCAGACCTTGGCAATCACCGCGTACTTTCAACACCGCGCCAGTTTCGCGGAACAGAGTCCCTGGGAGGGCCAGGGTCACTCTCGCCTCTACTGAAAGCCTGTTTGTCAGTGTGTACCCTGAGTCAGATGAATTCAGCCATCACCATCTTTAAGATCCACTTTAGTATCATCCTTTCAACTACGACTTGGTCTCCCAAGCGATTTATCCCTTTCAGTGTTTCCAACCAAACTTCTGTGTGCATTTCTCAGCTAACCCAAACTTCGATTACTTCGTGGATGAAATGTTGATTTGTTACTGTTGGGAGGGACATCAGTAAGATGACATGAGGAAGACACACAGTACAGAAGGACAGAAAGAGAGGAGGTAAGATGACATGAGGAAGACACACAGTAAAAGGACAGAAAGAGAGGAGAAACAATTACGAAAGGAAGAAAACGATATAAGCGAAAGACGGAAGGAGTAAGTAGAACAGAGAGACAAAGACGCATAGCAGTCCGAGTATTAACAGTGGCGTTTCGCATCATGCTGACAGCTGCTGATTTGCATCAAGAGTGGAGCCATCGTTCAATACAGATTTGACGGGGAGAGAGGGAGGGAGGGAGGGAGGGAGGTTGGACCCGGAAAGCGGCCGCGGGCAAACGACGGTGCAATCGGAGGTCAACTGCAGAATCAGGAATGACGAAGGAATGCAAAATCAGGTGAGCTGCAACTCGGCACGTAGCTCGCGTCACTCCATGCAAGTGTTTCAACGTAACATTTTAATAATGTTAATATGGAAGTCATCCGAACTTGATCTACTGAATACTGGATTTAGACAGACTCGAGATATCGTTATGACGACTGCATTACAAATTGCAGGCAACGTTTTTGTTTCAGCCTGTGATTCTGATAAGATTTATTGCAGTTATCTTAAGATAACGTTTAAGTGTTTAGACTGCATGCAACAGAATCGCGTGCCTTTGAGTTCTTGAAGGCAGAGAGGACACTGGGTCTACTTAGAATTCAGTTCTGTGACAGATACAAACATCCGGCATTTAGGAAACGCGCAGACGACTGCTCGTGGGGTCGCCGGGGGCTCCTTGTTCTTCAGGGCCACTCCCGCGACATGTCAGTACGTAGACTGACTGGCTGTGATGTGGAGGTCGAAATTCGATTCTCGATACGGATCAATTCGAGACCGAACCTTGCACCCACACAGCCTACTATATAAAATGGTTACGATGGCTCCTTCCTCGCGGTTAAAGTGGCGGAATATTGGAACTGACAAGCCACAACCGCTACCTTCCACATTCTTATCTATCTTACCATCACTATCTGCACGCCCATAATCTACACGACACAAGATTTCATAATTTTAGAAGATAATGCCCCAAAATTATCACAGGCCTATGACATATTTTAAAGAAGGAATAAATTATTATGATTTTCATTCCTGTGACATTCCAGTCTGCAGAATAGCTAACGTCTCTCGCGAACTGACCGAGTATTCCAGTTGGTCCTTTTCAGTGACTGGAAACGAACACAGGTCGTCCAAATATGCATGCTTGTGTGGGTTGTGTTGGGGGGGGGGGGGGGGGGCTGTTACCCTCTGGCCCACCCACACTGATTCCCGTCTCAATGAGTGCGACAAGATTTCACGAGCGCTTATGAACCGCAGAGGTGATTAAATTATTATGACGGGAAGTGAGCTTAGGTGATACGGAGACTGTGGGACGGGGCAGAGTTTTAATCGCTCGTACGAGTGCACTATCACGCACCAGTCACGCTCACTGGACGCGTGTCCGGACATGGGGCGCTGGGGATTCCCCAACAGTCCGGCCGATACCCTGCATTAAGCGTCTATCATGTTCATCCCGCGACGATTTTTATTGAAGCAATCGATAATTCTCGCGAACAATACAAGAGACACGTGACAAAGCTTAAGATATTATAGAAGAAAGCAAAAAAAAGTGTCTACAAAGTGCCGCAGGGCAGATGAAATCCTCTCGAATTGACGTAACTCTGCTTAGTCTTAAAATATTATAAAAAGTTTCCATTCCCTAAAAATAAGACCCTACGAAGCAGCCAGATGTGGCAATAACGCTCGAGGAGAGATTCTGGAGGTGCACTGTTCGAATCTCGCCGGGTTGTTTCCTGCCCTTGACTTGAGATCCGCGGTGCTTCCTCATTCTTTCCAGGTGAGTGTCTGGACAACATAACACAGCTGTCTCCTTCCACATCCTCGCCTGCTTACCACATATATTTATCTGCCAATCCAATCCGAAGATATGTAATCTCTGTAATTGGAGCAGCGTTGTTAAATAATCTAAGAGTCAATATCTCCAACGGAACCTTAATAGTGGACACATCCTGCATTCTCTTAACAGGTGCACCGTGCCTGCCTGGCAGATCAAAGACCGGAGGGGGCAATTAGACGGTCGTTCTAAATTCATTAACGTACTTTATTATTTTTTATTAAGTGTTCTGTCTGACGACAGGTCCATTGCTCTGCCCAAAAAGAGCTCTCCAGTTGTCCCTATTCTCTGCTTCTCGCTTTAATTCCTGGAACGTCATCTTCTTTCCTTGTTTAAGGTCGTCGGTTAGCTGTATCAGTCTTCTTCCCAGTCCTCGCTTTCCTTCAACCTGGCGTTCGATGATGTCACTCAGTAACCCACTCCTTCTCATAATATGTCCCAGCATTAACGTACAAATGGTAAAAATTACAGAAGATTCAGAGCACATTTTTGCCTCCCTCTTCATCATCGACGGGGGCAAAAAGAAATCTCCAGAACATCGACAGTTCTTACCACATCTAGACACTGTCGTTCCTAGATTACAAAACATAACCGCAAAGAATTTTGACTATATCCACTTCTGGGTCCAAATAAGTTATTTG